ACAGGATGAAACCATGTGACCGCAGTATGAATGGAGGAAGCTGTGACACAACTCACACTCACTCTAAGCTGCTATAGGCAAGGGTGTGTGTTTATAATCAGAGAAGGAGGAAACGCTTGCAGAGGTAAAAAGAGACAAATTAGAGATAGATGAGATTATTCTATCTAGTTGAAATAAAGTAGGATAATAAAGAGGAATAAACTTAGATCAACACTTCTGCTTCCTAATTCTGTTCCTTGGTTTTATGAGCATAACTCCCATGGTTTAAGGCTGTTATTTAAGACTATTTACACACAATATTAAAATAATGTGATCTAGCTGCTTTAGTTTCAAACTGAATTTCATATATTTTATATGTTAACTAAAAACTAGATTTAATGAAAGTTTTTGATTCAATGTGTTCATTTGAGATCGACCGATAAAAGTTTTTTAAGGTCGATGCCAATTATTTTGACAGTAGTTTAACCGATTCCTGATATGTGCTGCTGATTTTTTGAGATTCTCGCTTTTTCCTTACTCCATTTATGTGACGAAGACAACACAATAAAAAAAAGTTACTCAAGTGTCCGTTAAAAAAAGAAAGAAAGAAATCCTCCCAAACATTTCTCAACAAGTGATAAATCAACCAAAGTCTGCACCTAGCAGATGCCGATACTAGAAAAAAAAAAAACGCTAATATGGGACAAAAACATTGGTCTATCTCAGCTTTTATTGCCAAAAATATGTTTGCTTATTCAGCTGTTCAAGACTATCAGTGAGAGTTTAGAAAGCTATTATTAGCTTCAAAGCAGCATTACTTGGGTGCGAGTGATGTGGAGATGGGGAAACAATCGTATTAATTGTGATAAATCGATTATTGAAATAATCGTCAACTAATTTAGAAATCATTGAATCGTTAACTGGAGTATAGAGACTCTAAAACATGCCTTTAGCTGATAGAGAAACACACTTAGAGGAGTAATTATACCAAGATTGTAAAAAAATAATAATAATAAATACATAAACATTTTACATTTAGGATAAAAAAAAGAAAAATTGTGCACCAATATGACCTATCCAGAACTCCGATTTGCAAAATAATTGTTAGTTGCAGCCCTAGATATTTTAACTATAAAAATCAGCGACAGCAATGAATAATAATGGTATCCTTTCTTCTGCCAGATGATTGGCTGTTTGTAGCAACCTACAATAATTGAGCTGTTATTCAAAAAAAAAATAACTATGACCTAATGAAGTTTAGCAATTATGTTAATTCAACTAAATTATATGATCTTACAACAAAATTGTATATAGTTTTGACTAATTCTGTTCAGCCGGTTTCATTGATTGTTGTTTAACTCGATCTAAAATGAGTACAAATTGCTAGATTAGTTTCATTGGTTGAACTGTTTACAGTAAAGCAGGTATTATCCAGATTCTATTGCAGCTACACTGATTCTGCCATCATTACTCTGCAAAGCAAGCTATGCTTCATTACAGTCTGTCGTTTCAGTAACTACTCACAACATAATATACAACAATAACAACAAAACATCAAAAACAACAAACTGCTCTACAGATATTAACATTCACAACAATATAAGTTATAACAATGTTTAATTAACCTTTGGGATAAATAAACTATTATTGAATGTATTAACAAGTATCAGAAACGGTGAAAGGTGGAGCTAACTTTAAAGGATTTCTTTCAAAACCTCAAAATCTTCCCTTGGAGGTTTAAACCTCCGAGACTCCATTTCTCTAAGTGTATAGAGCTTTTTGCTGCACACTGCTGGTCAACTGGTTGAAACAAGGCTCTCATACTTCTCTCATATTCAAAGAAACTGACCAATTTGATTACATTTTTGGATCCTGGCTTTACATAAAATTATTGTGATTAGAGGAAACCTGGCAAACAGAAGGAACAAAGTCGGTTGGGAAGTTTTTTAGAAGCAGTTTTAAATCGTGTGATCAGCTGCGGTTCTTTACTCTGTTATCACGCCATAATTGATCCTAAAGCAGCCTTCGGCAAACACTGATACACTGAGGTGGTGCACTGCAGAACAAAAGCTGAGGTATTTAAACTCTACAGTGATAATAGTATCGCTTCTGATAAGTTATAGAAAGGTGGGCGTTTTAGGCTTTTAAAACCAGTCTTGAAATCAATGGAACGACATGGGTGGGGTCTAATTATTGGGGAAAAAGATAACTTACTATTACTGTTTTAACGGACAACAAAAATATCAACCCTAGTTAACGGCTTTGATATTTATACAGAAATTACACGCAGAGATTATTCCTAGCAGACGGACTGAAGCTTTCCCATACAGTTAACCAACACCATAAAAAGCAATCTGGGTGGATATTAATTATTAGTCATAATTCATTCAACTCTTATCTGATGTTTGCAGTGTCTGTAAGAGAGTATGAAGCTTAATAAAAAACAGACACCATTCAGTTGCATTGCGAACAGATATCCACTTCAGTTACAAACAGTCTTATGAAATTAATGTGTTTTGAGTCCAGCTACAACTCATTAACTGATGGCACTAACTCTAAAGTCAAATAAACAGCCTGATGTAATGAATGCCCCATCATGGCTGCAACTGGCAGCCAAAAAGTGTGACATGAAAGCTTGGATATTATTTCTAACAATGTATCTCTATATCAGGGGTGTTTACGGCTTTAATCATAGATTTCTAGGTTTTTTTGTGTCTTAAAAAAATGAGGAAAAGAAATAGATGACTTAATAAAAGAAACTAAAGCTGAAGAATTGATAAACTCAGTAAAGGAACCTGTTGTATTGAAGGAGATCATGTGCAGCCATAAAACTAACTGATTGATTGAATTTATTGATCTCACAGTGGAGAAATGTACTGCTTACATCAGCTCAAATAGTCAAAGCAGAAGAAGAAGGTGTAGGATTATAATGCAGGGTTATTACTGGTGAGCTATGAACCTGCATCCTTACCTACCTGATAATGATCCATCTGTACTAGTGAAAGACTTATGATTCACTAAACAAGTTGTTGCCTATATGTAATTAGTAAAACTGCCAAACAGTACCAGTTGTGTCTAAAGCAGGGGCAGAGCGAGATGGGGGCCACCCTTAGCCAATCATTGGCCACTCCTACCATTTTTCCCCCTCTAATGGCGGCAGTAATACTCTCAAGTGGAATATTCAAAAAATTAAACATTTTTGTGGTTAATTATACACATCAATATACTAACATCAAAGATGATAATTACAGAATTCATGCTCTTTTCAGAACTAGATTTTGTGTTTTATGGGGTAAATAGAACAATATGTATATGTGTCTCCGCAAGTCATCTAGGAGTCTTCAGTGAAATCATAAATATTTGACTAAAAACTTATTAGATAATCAATTTATGTAGATATTAGTGTTTGTAAATATCAACTTTATGCAGAATGTTTATTGATACAAGAAGTTAAGTAATGACAATGATGATTGATTTACGCCCCGGACTCAAAACTGAGTTTTATCCACTATACCTTTTATCTAAAAATTACGGATGTTTAAATATATGTGTCTATTTGTTAGCAAAGGCTGTAGAAAAGTATAGTTTGTCTTTATTTAGAAAATATGGATGTTTTGGTTACTTTTCCTGTTGGAACAGTGTAGATTGACCCAGAGGTTCTGGCGCCTATCCGCTTTCGGCCACCCCTCAGTGTAAAATATTTCTGGCTACGCCTCTGGTCTAAAGTTTAAGTCATTATCAAACAGAATAACTTTGACCTATTGTAGTTTAGTAACTGTGTTAATTCAAATAAATTATATCTTACAACAAAATTGTATATAATTTGGACTTATTTTGTTCAGTTTCATTGAACATTGTTTGTTTCATTGATTATTTGTTTAACTTGATTAAAAATGAGTTCAAATTGCTAGATTAGTTTTATTGGTGTGACCCTTTACAGTACAGCAGGTATTATCCTGATTCTATTGCAGCTACATTGATTCATAGATAGTGGGTTATCCAGAGCTATCTCTATAGTTATGCTGCTATAGGCTTAGACTTCTGGAGGACATAGGGACCCCTATTTCATCATTTTTCTTCATTCTATCTCTATTCTCCCACTCTGCAGAATCTGTTAGTTCAATCTCTAACGTTCTGCTCTCTCTGCTTTCTCTCATAGTAGCTTCGCCTCGTCTGTTCTGTTTTGGCTGCGACACCATCCTGGAGAGAAATATCAGCTGTGCTGCTGCCAACACCTTATTTATAGATGTTGGAGATCAGCCTGTTTTCCAGTGTAGTCCTGTTTCTCTAGCCGTGACTGGCTGGATGTGCCCTCTTCGTCCTCTGACATGGGAGCTGGCTAAGAGCTCGTCTGCCTGGCTTTGTGTTTCCTAGACAGGGCCGCCTTTTACAGTTGCCTTTTAAATTTCTACTTCTGTCTCCTTGAACCCCTGTCGGCCTCAGCAGATGGCCGCTCACACTGAGCCTGGTTCTGCTGGAGGTTTTCCTCTCCACTGTCGCTACAAGCATGCTTAGTGTGAAGGATTATTGAATCAATTTGACTGTATGATCTTGTGAACTGTAAAGTACTTGAGATGACATTTGTTGTGAATTGGCGCTATAGAAATAAATTGAATAAAATCAACAGATAACAGAAGTGATTACATGTTAAAGGTGGGATGGGCAATGTAAAGTGGTATGGATCCAGTTGGATTAACTATGATCAGATGGTGAAACCCTGCAGCTAAAGGGTTAAATAAGATATAATTAAAAACTAACCATCGTTTTGTTGTTGTTTTTTTTCTGTTAAATTAGACGTCTCAGACTTTTTTTCAATTATATTTAATAAAAAAATAACTAAATCGTCTGCTTCCCTGTGTTTCACTCCCTGGATGACGACTTTATATCAAGCAAGAGGCTAAAGGTCTGTAGCTTTAATGGAGCTAACGTTAGCTAGCCGTTAATGTTAGATAGCGGGAAAGGTGTTGCTCTGACAACCACTAATTTCCCTTTTTTTTTTTATAACATTTTTCAGAACCTACCTCAATTTTGTCGACATTCCTGGCACAGCCGACAACCCTCATGCCCTGCTGGACCAGAGCCCGAGTTATAGCCGCTCCAATCCCGACCGAGGCTCCGGTTACCAGGGCCACTCTGCCTTTCCAGCGCTCCATCTTCACCGGCTCAGTGTCCGAAGCGAACCTACCGCTCAGCTCGGCTCGGTCTCCTCGCGCTGCTCTCCTGCCAAGTCTCACAATCAGGCTGCCACGCTTGAAGATGTCGCGGGGTTACGTTCGGTATCCGCAACTCGGGATGTACTCGATCCGGAGTCCCGCATCAAACTGTGTGGCACCCGGCACTACGGCAGCAATAAGGGGTCGTAAAGATCGATCCATGCGCATCTCAGAGCAAAATATCAAGAGTCCGGCTACGTTGGGATTGTTTGGTTCACTTCACCTCCCACTTTCATCGCCAGCCTCAGGGCTGGGGAGGCGTCGATTCTGGCTCATCGGCGCCACCTAGTGGAGAGGCTTTGAAAATAACATCATATGTAATTGATTTATGGGACTTTTTGTTTTTAATTTCACAAAACACACATTACACAATCTTTCAAAGGGACTGGTGCTGGGGAACAGTTAGGATTATGGTGACAAATAACAATAATAAAGCAAATATGAAGGATCAGAGCAAATAATTACAATTCAGTTTAAAAATATTTATTGATCCTTTTGGTCTAAGATGTACATGTGTATATAAATGACTCACAAATGTTTTATTACTTTTTGATCTTGTGGGTAGACGCACAGTACTTCTGAGGGGTGTGGGGAGGGGGGGGGGGGGGGGGGGGTGTAATTTGTAATGTTAAAAAAAAATAGCCAAGAATGTAAATGGTTGTTTTGTGTTTAATAAAAATAGATCTTAAAAAAAAACACGTATATATATATATATATATATATATATATATATATATATATATATATATATATATATATATATATATATTCATTGAACCCAAAGGGAAATTAAATGTTAAAGTAACTCGTAGGCAGTTGTTTAATTATAGTCGATAGTCGTTGATAGCTGGAGGCAGGAAGGATTATCTGTAGCAGTTTGTCTTGCACCTGCTCTGGAGAGGCCTCTGACTTAAGACGCTCTTCTGTTAATCTGATATGCGACAAAGTGGTTCCGTTTGTGTTCACCGCTTGTCCCTTATTCTTTTTTTCTTATTTGTAATGCTTAAATTTAAACATTAGTTTGCAGCTTTGCTTCACTTACTATCCCGGGTTTGTTTGTGTTAGCATTATGTTGCAGTTTCCATGTATTTATGTTTGGGTAAAAGCGATTACTTCTGGATTATTGGTTGAAATTTTCTATTTTGTTTCAAAGTATATTCCTTTTACTCACCATTGTTTGTTCAAGTATTACTGCTAAATTGGCTTGATGATGTCATCTATTACCTTGTCTTGTTTCGTTTAATGGCGGTTGGCAAACAACTTTTCGCTGCATTACCGCCACTAACTGGTGAGGAGTGTGGATCAAAAAGGCCCTATTCATAAAGATACTTGTATTTATTTATCTATATATCTATATCTATAATATTATTTTACAATACTACATCCTCCTAATTATTCCTGTTGTTATTAAATATTTAAATAAATATTGTTAACATTTTTTTGACTTTTTCTGCAGAATGTCTATCAAATCAAGATTCACTTTCTCCTTATTTAGGTCTCTGACCAAATTCTTTCTTTTTCTTCATACTTCTTACAACACATCACTGCATGTTCTACTGTTTCGTCTTTTCCACAATATTCACATTTGCTTGACACGTTTCCCCATTTTGAATAGTGAATTATTTAATCCTGTATGCCCAAATCTAAGTCTTGAAATAACTGTTTCCTCTCTTCCGCTTCCTTCTGCTATCCTCATTTCTCCAACTTCCCGTGTAATCCTATAAAACCATCTTCCTCTCCTTTCTTCTTCCCATTGTTTTTTCCACCTTTCCTTCATCCTTTGTTAAATAATACTTTTCATTTCTGTCTTACTTAAGTTAATCATCATATCAACAGTTTTTATTTTGTGATGCTTCCTTAGCAATCTTGTCTGCAATTTCATTTCCTTTAATCTATCACTTACCTTGCTGGATTCTACCTTTGGAGTAATGCTTTGTTTGTTTTTCTTTAAAGTAATTTTTTGAGTTATCTTGTATCACATTGTTTATTTTGCAGACTATTTCTTTATGTAGGTGAGTTTGTAAATTAGATTAATAATTTTATTCTTGTTTCTCTTGCCAATTGGTTATTTAAGCACTGAGCTCTTGGAAGCTCAGGAAGGGTTGTCAGAGTGAAAAGTGCTGAATAAAAGACAACAGAGAAATCAGGAAACGGTAGCTGAAGCTTTTCTTTTGTTGTTTTTTGTACACCTTACTGATCCTCGACCAAACTACTTGACAAACTTACATGATAAAGAGGTCGATTACTGTTGTCCAGTGGTGGTTCGATATGAAATTTACCAGGGTAAGGCTAGTGTCTTTTCCTGGGGGACAGAAAAAAAGAAAAACAGAGCACAACTCATCCGTTGGTATATTAAGTGAGCCACAAAATCAATGTTGCAAACACCTGAAACAACAGATGAAACCTGTGAACTTTTATTAATCCGACTGGAGCTTAAAGCTGACTGTAATTGCTAATTAACTGTTAAAAAAAGTTGTAAAGGTGACATAATAAATCTATCCAAGGGACAAATCTTTTCGGGTTCATCTGTATTACACAGATTTAATATTACACTCCAACAACTGATCTACATAGGTAAAGATTTCTTACAATAAGTGCATCTTTGCTCAATTCTAGTAGGAAAATAAGATGATTAGCAAAAGGAATGAGTATCTCTGCTCTTATAATTAGATATGATGCACTGGATATATATGTATATTTTTTTTCAGTAGAGGGGCCATAACAGGGCCGTCTGTGCTGTTGCCCATAATGTTTTTTCTCTTTATTAAGAATACTTCTTTGCCTAGTCACCCCAAAAGGTTCCCAAAAAAATATCAAATGGGAGGGAGAGTCTTTCCATGTTCAGCATGTGGTATTTAGCAAGTAAAAAAACAAAAACATTATTTACCACATCAGAAGTTTCACTATCAAGACCATCGACATAGTACTCAATATGGTTGGTTAAAAACCTGGAATATTTTGCATTTTCAGAGATAACCAGTCTTTGATATCTCTCTTGAATTTATTTGAGTTAGGACAAGTGAAGAGAATTCAACAGCACAGATCCAACTACGTCAAATTCAAACCCTTTGTGTAAAAAAAAATAAAACAACAACTGGGTAAATTCTATGACATTTTTTTAAAGTGAGTCTCTTTTACCTTAGTTGCAGGTGGCACATTAATGTACCTTGAGAAAGCCTTTCAGCTGCGTTCAAATCTACAGTTTTCATTTTTCTGTTATAATTAAATAACTTGGATTAAAATGAAGACATAAGGACAGGTGTGTTGCACTTTCTATCAGTTAGATTACTGTCCTTTACCTGCAGCTTGGGTTGACCTGGAATGACAGTAGAGTACCTCAATTTGTTTTGTATACAATTATTAAAGGAAACTGGAAGACATTTACACACTTTGATATATTCATGATTTGTACAGTTCAACTGTCCACTGTCTCCTTGGCTTCACCTTGGCCCAACTGTGGCTCTGCTTTTCTCATACTTCATTCAAAATAGTCAGTTATCATGAGCTATTTTCTATATTTGTGCTGCTATATGCTTAGGCTGCTGGAGGACATAGGGACAACTTTTCCTCATCTTGCTTCGTTCTATCTCTATTCTCCCAGTATGCACTATTTGTTAAGTTCCCCTCATAACTTTCTGCTTTCTGCTTTTTCTCATCATAGTAGCTTCATGCGGTCTGTTCCTGTTCGGCTGTGACTCCATCCTGAATTAAAATATCAGCTGTGCTGCTGCCATCGACATCATCGTTAACTTGAAATAACATTTATAGGGGTTATAGAGGGTGTCCAATCCAGTAATATACATCAGTGGCCTCCATTAACTCATGATACTAGGAGTGAGTTTACCAAGTGCTCAAAAAAAGGGGAGCACTGACCATGCAAAGCATGTTGCACACTCTGCTATTCTAGCAACTTAAGCTAACAGCAACAAGTAGCCTAGCTGTATAACTTAGGCCATCATTTGTTTCTTTTTCACTTTTTAATTTGTGTCATAAGTTGTTGTTTTTTTAACATGATTCAGATCTGTGTTCAATTACACTGGTCTTTCTCAGGGACCCAGAAGAAAATTCTGTTTCTTGCCACCCAGAGGTAAGAAATGTAATTTTTAATACAATAAAATACAGTTTCAAAGCAAATTAAGTTTCAAATGATTAAATAAAATTTAAATTTAGTGAAGTTTACTTTCAAACTAATACTTTAAATTTTGAATTTTGCATATCAGATGGATTCTTATTCAGATTCTGTTGGCACATTTTTTTTTTGCCCTATGAGGATATTTGGGTCATTTACTTGGCATGTATCTTATTTAACTAGCATTTGCAATTCTACTGAAGAATCATGTTCCATATTGATATTGAAAAAGGAAGTTTTTCATTAACATATTTTTTATTATTTTTATTTATTATTTGGTATAAAAATGGTATTGTGTGTTGAATATTTTCCTGAGTATCAATACCAAGTTTAAACTTTTAATATTGTGACAACCCTACTGCTTATATATCAGTGTGGGTGTGTGGTGGGAGTGTTGAATTCCACTTTCAGAAGAAGACAACAGTGTCAATTGTCCACGGCCCATGGCGGAGGACACTACCAGCTCACCCCTGCTTCAAATTATGCTAAACAATACTTTTTCAAACAGGACTAAGTAAAGAAAACTTTTTAATCACTAATTTCTGCAATAACTTCTTGGTATTCTTTTTTCCTCTTGTAGTAGGAAACAAGAAAAAGAAGGAAATCTAAAAATAATTTGGCCATTAAAAATCTTTAAACTCTAGTAAAATGAAAAATACTCAGTCGTTATAGTGAGTACGTTCCACGGGATCCAAAAGGGAGTAACGCACCAGACAAACAGAGTAACTCTACTTTTAGCATTTATGAGCTAAAAGACAAATATTGTGGAGTTTGTTAACACTATCAGAACATGAGACTCAGATTTTAATACACAATAAGTTTAACTGCTTCAGTGTCTTCAGATAAGAGCATCTTTATTCAAATATGGTTTGGTAAACAGATTTTAGGATCAAGGAACAAAGAGTCAAATGTAAAGCCTTTACTTCATACTTTGGATACAAAACAAAAACATAATTTGTATATACCAAATAAATCAGATAAATAAATCTAAGCATACACTCTGATCTTACGTGGAAATTTGTGTTTCGACTGAATTGGGGGTAGTGTTGCACCGCTGCTATTTTTTGGCCCCGATACAGATACCCGGCTGTGCAGTACTGGC